ACACACACACACACACACACACACACACACACACACACATACATCTACTGATCACTGATCTGTCTGTGAATTCATTCATGTACTGTACCATACTGCTTTAATTATTTTGAATTACTGATATATTGAGAGTCTGTTTAAAGCCAGTGTTACCTCATTATTACTTCGCTTTTCTAAGCATTCCTATTTTCATTTTTTGTTCTTATGGACATTAATTGCATAAGTACGTGTATCCTTTATATATGAAAACAATGGTGATTTGAGAGTTTGTCTTATTCATTGATGTCTTAGTAAAATATTTCATTATGTTTTTATAAGCATACAATTAAAGTATCAGAAAAACGACATGTAAAATGTCCACACCTCTGCTTGTGAGTCATGCTTTTAAATGATACATTTTCAAATTCATTCGGTAGCTACTGTTTTGTAAGCCTTGTCCTAGTTGCATAGGGTACAGAGATGAACATTACAACTCCTGACTTTTTCACTCACAATCTAGCCTGCAGGAAGGGCCAGTAAGTGTAATCACAAAGGGCAGAAAAGCACCAATACTGGACAAATATAGGCTAAAATTCTAAATTTTCTATTACAATAAGATGGCATTGATTAAAATAATAATCTCATCCATTTCATCATCTAATACATTATAAACTGGGAATAAAATTACAATCATATAGTATGTAAATGAATATTAGATTTAGTGCTTATAAATGTCTGGCTCATAGTTGATTCATACACACACACAAACGGTAAATTGATTTCTTCCTGCCAAATCTAAAATTATGGGTTAATTGAAAGAACCCGCGAGAGGAGTGAGCAGGCCCTGCTAATTAATCGCCACACAGCTTTTCTCCCGTTTGCCTTAGAAATGGAATTGAAGTCAGGAACCTAGCAACTCAGCCCCAGAGGCATTTCCGGCTTTTTGGCTGCAGGATCCAGACGCTCCATTTAATTAGACCTGGACTTGCAGAACCTTCCCCGCCGGGACTTTTCAGCCTCTTCACCTCGAAAAGGAACAGCGCTAGGCAAACACAAGAGAAGCGGATGCCACTGTTTCCACCGTGCAGGATTCTCACTCCCTTCCTTACTCACAGCTGCGCTTTCACCTAAGTGCACGGGTTCACTAGCCCTTTGGGGCGTCAGCCCCTCCGAGTGATCTGCCGGGTCTGTCCAGACACAGAGTCGACCCGGGCTCCGATGGCAGGCTCGAGGGAGATTATGCTGAGCATGGCAAGTGGAAGAAGAGCGGTTCTGGGACCCCCCCTGCCGCTCCCTCCCGGCCCGCACTCCGCCCAGGACCTCAGGGCTGTGCTGGCCTCGTTATCCGACCAGCGCCGAGTTAAGGACTCTGGCCCTCAAGGAGTCAACTCCGGAGAAAAGCACCAGGCGCTGTCAAATTTGAGCGCCTGTGGAGCCAGGGATCCCAGATCTCAGTCTCAGAAGTCTGCAGGGTCCCTGTCTGGATGGAGAATCTCCACAGAACAGAACTGCAGTTCAAATTTACATTTGCCTGAGAAAATAATCATGTAAATTAGGCCGTCTGCCCTTGAGTCTGAGCCTGAGCATCCAAGGACCCCGCGGACGCCGCAGACAGATCCCTCCGGCCTCTGTGAGGACGCTGGAACCTCTTCCCTTCTGAGTCCAGTCTCTTAAGGAGCTGCCAGGGTTCCTTGGCACTGCCAGTCCCTTCCTCACACCCCGCGTTTTGTAAGCACCTGGAGAACCGATCATTTTACACCCTGAAGTCTTTTCTGGTCCCTGGGCCATGGCTGCTCCTGGAAACTTTCCAGGGCTAATGGAGCCTAACTAAGGTTTTTCCTCAGACCTCTTGCAGCCAGCCCTTGGGACGTGGGAGTTCTTTTGTCCCACAAGTTCCTGACAGCTGGTGTCTGATGTGTAGTCACTAGAAAAGCTGGTTTCTCTGTACCTGTCATCCACGTGTTAACTCAGCGCTGCCCAGCACCCTCAATGAAACGGGGACTTCTCTGGTTTGCTCCAAGAAGACCAGAAAGTGTAAGGGACCCAGGCCCAGAACCTAGGCTAGGGCCCCCGCCCAAAGGAATTTAAAAAGCTCCTGCTTCAGCAAAAGTTAGCAAAGTATCTTGTCAAGAGACTAGGAAAAGATAAGCTAGGTATGCTTTATAGCTTACTTATTAGGGAAAAGATAAGTTGGGTAGCTTGTTAGGAAAAAATAAACAAGTCATGTTTTATAGCCCGTCAAGAAGATAAGCAAGTTATATATTAGCTCGTTAAAAATAATAATAACCTGTGTTTTATAGTTTGTTAAAATAAGATAAACTAACCATTTTTTTCCTTTTTACACACTAACTGCTTTTTTTTGCTTCTGTATCCAGCTTCAGCTATATATTCCTTACCCACCAGGATTAACGGCTGGGCTCCCCCTTTGAGAGAGACAGCCCCAGGTCTGGTCATAGACTCTTTGGAACGAAAATTCTTTTATACAAGTTTTGTTTAGGAGCCTTAAACCTAACAAAAGCACCCATTATCCATCTAGGCATTGAGTTGAATTTGTTGGAGCAGGGCTTCCTCTAGGAGAAGCTAGATGCTGGAACCAAGGGCAGTATCTAACCTCCCACTTGAACCTGGCCACCACCTGCCCTGACTGCAAGGCTCATTACCCCTGAGCCAGATTTCAGAGGTGCATGTTCCCTTCTGTGGATCCGATGGGATCCAGGGACCAACTCTACATTTATATATTCAATATTTTCCCATAGATCCCATGTACGTATATTTAAAGGAAATCAAGGCGGCACTAAGTTAGCTATCTTGGGTACTGGTATCCCTGACACGTGTGGTGGGTCAGGCTCCTGACCTGTCCCTTACTGTGGGTGTCCAGAGTAAAGAAAAGGTCTGAGAGGAGAAGAGAAGGAGCATGAGAGCAAACTACAAATGAGGGAGCTATCAGCCACATTACCAAAGCTCACGACACCCCTTTCAAAATCCAGGAACATGCCAACGTAGCCTACCGGCCGTTCTACATACTGAGGTAACAGTGGGGAGCAGGTAAAGAGACTGCACCTATCGTCCTCTCAGACACACAAAAGGAGAAACATTCCCTCTGCGCTAAGCACCATGTCATCCCTCCCTGCCCAAGAGTCATTACAAAATCCAATGACCCAGTTACAACAGCTCGACACATCCACTTCCCAGTAATGTTGGTCAGAAAGAAATGGCTGGTCTCCCCAGGCAAGAAAATATCTTCTTGTGGTCTTGGCCTTATCAGGAGGGTCAGGACTAAAAAGCAGACTCCTCAGGCCTTCAAACAGGGGGATGTGACCAGTGACTCTTTCATGATCCAAGGAAATATGCACTGCAGGAAGAAAGAAAAATCACATTAACAAATAGTGATGCAAATTACTGATAAACATGGGCGTTCATAGTGTCTAGGTGTGCTAGCCATAACTAGAAACATGAGCCAGGGTGATGACAGAACTCTAGAACACCACACTTGTACGAGGTCTACTGGTCTGTTTCAAAACAAGCTAAACTTTACCAGCCAAAATGGGGAAATTCATGAATTTCCTTGAGATATACAAAGAAGAGGGACATTGCTAAGCTGCCTGTTATTTTCTCAACATTTGAAATTGGGAGATCATTAAGAATTTACAGTTAGGCATGAATGTAGCATGCCCACCTACTTAGAAAATGTAAAATCATTATTGTTGTTATTCCATAAGTGATCACTTTGCCTCAGATTTAAGCGTATGTCAATAAACAGTGCAAAGGCAAACTTAAGTGAAAAAAAAGTATATGGTTTTCTTCAGAAGTGGTTTGTATCTTTGTGAGAATTTTCTGCCAGCGTTGTCTATAAAGAACAAAAGGCATAAATCGGGAAAAATTAGCTGTCAGCTTACCTTATGGATGTTGTCTATAAACATTCATTTTATGTTTTTAACACAACTCATCATGCAAAGTATCTTTGTATTATGTGAATAAAGCATGCTCTCTGTAAGGTGCATTTATTAAAAAAAATTTAAAACAGAAGTTCAAGCTCTCTAAGAACCTCAGCCTCACATACCTAAACTTTGCAATGTGCTGAATGCTTGTGCAGGGTCACATTATGTGAACAGTTAGCTCTATACCTCGGCATGCT